AATAGGTTAGTATCTTTTTTGTTACTATACTTTATTTTTTGTGTTTATACTGACTAGTCAAATATGGTAAATAAGAAAAATTACGTAACTTCAGTTTTTTAATACTAAATACTCCAAGAATCAGAAAATCACATCATTTGTCATAACATCAGGGTAAAGATAATGGATAAAAAAAACCTATCAAATTTCTCTCTAAAAAAATTTTGAGCTATATTTCCGTAACTGTAATTCTGTAAAGATATTCAGAGCCAATTTCACCTGCCACTTATGTCACTCACATTCGTTCAAAAATTTTAATTTCGAGGTTCCCTGGTAGTACATTTTTCATATAACTTTGTTTTATTATAAGGTTCATTTTTTTTCATTTTCTAGTTTTCCTCCAACATTGGTTCTGGCAATAAATCACCATTTGGTGGCATGTCACCATATTTTGTTATCTGTTGTATTTTTATAATGTTCATCATTTTACTTGTCTATTCAGAGTTCGGAAGATATGTTACTTTCGAACCTTCTCTTGGAAAAAAAGATTCTTGAGTCTCCTCAATGTGCTCAATGTGGCAATAAAGCAGATTTTAGTACTTTAAAAGTATTAGTCTTAAATGACATCGATAAACGTCAAAATGAGTCTATCGAACATAGAATCACCAAGATCGAGAACCAGTCTTTTTTCCTTATCGTTGGTGCCTCATTGACAGTATAGTGTGGTTGCAAATCATGTTCTAAAAAAATGAGACTGATAAAAAGAAGCAATCCCCTCTTTTCTATATTTTAAATCACAAAGTCAGAATAGATTATCATACTACATATTGCTTATAAATAATATTCTGATTTCTTTTTTTTTTGCGATTGATTTCTTTTACAAAAAATTGTAATTGAATTATTTTAAAATTTAAAATTCAAAATATGAAAGAAAAATTTATTAAAATAATTATTGTTTTATATTTAAGTTACTGTGCATAGATAGATCTACGGACAAAATTATATGCTGCTTACAAAATATCAAATATGATATACAGACAAATCATAAATAAAATTAAATAATTTCTCTCTCATTAAAGCTTAAACTACTAGGCAATATGAGATTGAGTAAAGAAACGGTATAGTCGTTAAGCTCTTGCTCAATTATATAATGTGCAACATAAAGAATTTTCGTCAGCCATCGGAAACTTCATTAGAAGTAGATTTCAGTACTATAATCACGGTCATGTATCTGTATAATCCTAATTTATGTGTAAAATTTTCATTATAAGCTTCAAAAAAAAAAAGCTTTTAGTTAATAGTTGATGTATTAAATTAATTTTCATTTTTAATTTTCAACAATAGTAAACATTTTTTCGTAACTATCTCTTTTCTATTATAATAAATTAAATAAATTAGTAACTAACGGTCTTGTTAACTAAATAATATAATAAACATCGTATATGAACACAATTGTTATATAGGTTATAAACATCTTTCATTAATGGTAAAAACTCGCGCAATAAAGGGGGGTATAAGGGTCGAAGACTATAGCCACCGCAATACGGTACTGGGAGAAAGCTACAAAATAAAAAATGTAATAATTTTTGGTTTTTTTCTGATCTGTGCATCTTCTGTTAAGTATATTACCCTATATTATATAAGTATTCAAAATCGGTTTTAAATTAAAAGTTCATGTGATTACATAATAAAGGTCTCCAATGCGGCTCATAGTAAAACGTCAGAATTTATAATATAATCATGACGAAATAAATAATTAGTGGCTAGGCTGTGAGGGAAAAAAAGGATATATCGAGCATCTGTCCTTAAAAAAATTTCGTTAAGGAGGTTAAAGGAGCAAAGAAAATTAAAAGTCATATTGCTTAAAAGTTAAAACTAAAATATTTTACGAAAAAAAAATAATATATCAATGACATCAGTAACGTAGGTCAACCTATAAATACACAAACGGATAATTAAAAAAACCGAATTAAAAAAAAAAAATAATTACATAATACAAATTATGTTTACGTATTAATTCAGTACTATTTTCGAGCTCCATTCTCCAGCGTCTTCATCGATCCCTTGTAACTTCAGTTGTCGTTATAAAACAACAATAAAGGATAAGATAAATGTTTTGAAGTGAGTTTAAACAAACAAAAATTAGATTTATTATCTTCATCAGGTTCGATTAAACTCTCGTAAACTTTAGCCTTTACGTGAAGTATTAATTTATAATCTGATATGCCGTACGATAACTCCCGAGGTTCCCTTTAGATGTATATTCAATCTTACAAACACTACAACCCACTTGGGACTTCAGAAGAAGGATTCATTCTTACAAATTTTCAACAAATCGAGATGTTCTAGTACTAGAATTTACTTTAGGATTTTCAAGAATTGTAAATTCTTGCTGACATGGTTATTAACGAGAGTGTCGCATACATATAAGTATTATTAAAGATTCACGATCATTGTATCTCGCGAAAATCAACCAATAAAGAATATTAGTTAATAATTATATTCCCTATGCACACAACAAGCCATACATTGATGTAGGTAAACTAAAAAATTTTATTAAAAAAAATGTAATATTGCTGAAATTATACAACTATTCCTATCAAAATATGACAAGTATCGTAAATTCTATAATTAACTAGGTGAGAATTTTTCCACCCGTTTCCAATCACAATCGGGATCAAAATTCTTTCCTTATACGATCCATTTATCGCCATGGTTCTCGAAATGTAATATAAACTACTGATCACATGAGGTTACGATGTCATTAAATTTACTATGCAAACAGAAGTTAGAATGGTGTTCCGTTATAATAAAATACTAAAAATTATTAAAACATTTACCTGCACGCAAAATGCACTTTCAAGCCGATCAAATTTTTCGCGGAAGGAAGGAATTTCTTCATTCGATTTGGCTGTTAAGTCTCATGGAGATAGATCATTGTAAAATGATATATTGCTTTAACATAGTCACAGCTTTCCCAATTTTTCAGCCGGGTAGTCATCTCATCAAATTTCATTCATCTCTTTCAATTGATTTCAATATCGTAGACTTGAGAAACGAAGTAGAAATCATTTATTTCCATCTCAATCTATCAGTGATCATTATTAAGAATCGATTCAATTAATTTTAAGTCACCAAAAAACTCAGTGAACATAATTGGCGAGATGGAGTTTAGCAACACATAAGATGTAACCAGACGACCGATCCAGCAAAGTTTAAAAGTAAAAAGTATTACTGAACCGTTAATTAAGGTCATCTATGAACAAATAACGTAATTAGAGATAGTTGCAGGATAAGGTGGAGAGCAATAAATATAAAAATGCAAACTTTTTTTACCTTGTTCAGTAGTTCACGCGATGATTATTATTCTCATCCCAAGAGCAAAAGTACCTCGATCACTTCTCCCATTATTTCTCTAGTACTCCATTGCTGGACGCATCGGCTTAATTGCGGTGATCAAACTGTTCCGGAGCTTTTCACTGTGTATGGCCGTAGCTGTAATATCTCGAGAAATTTCTTACTATAATTTTTTTTAATAATAGCCTAAATTAATTTCTTTGATTACAGTACTTCATCATACCCCCTTCTTTTATCTGTTACACACACTTATTTATTATTATCTCTCTATCCTTATAACGTTACTATGTCATCCTCCGTTTCTATTAGACTAGACCATAATATTGTAAACGTCTGTGAACATGACTCCTTAATGTTGAAGAGGCGGACAATTGAAAGATTGATAGAATCTTTTTCTTGAATATCCTTTTTCATGAACGCCCGAACATTCATATGTCTTGATTCTATACGATATCTTATTCTTACTGTGATTCTATTTCTCTTTATTCTATTCTAGTTTTATGTTGGTTAATCAGTTATTCACCAACGTATTTTCAACAATATTAGATCAACGTGTCAGCATAAATAATAAAATTAGGCAAAATAATAACAATTATTACATAAAGAAATAAAAAAACTTTATTAGAATTTTTGCGTTCAGATACTTTTTTCCATAATGATGGAGCTTCTTTAGAAGATTTTCTACCCTTTAATTTCTATATTCTTTCTATTTAATCTTTGTTGATTCTATTTCTCACTGTTATTGATTAACCGATATTTTCTCATTTAACAACCTATGTTTTGCTTTTAATGGTAAAATATACTTTCAATAATGTGGCCGACCTTTAATTCTCCTATTACTTCTGATATCCTTCCCTCAAATTTTTCCAATGAGCTGCAGTAACTTTTTATGTCTTCTTTACACCTGCTTCTGCATATTCTGTTAATTCGTATTTTCGTTATTTAAATTTAATCTGATCAATTATCTTTATCATTGTCTTTTTTTTGTTTCTGTGCCGTTATTGCCGAAATCACTATAATTATAACTCCAAAATCTTTGATCTACTTCCTTGATCTATTATTATACTCGTATCTTGATCTTTTCGGTTGTAAATCTAATTTTTTATTATCTTCGTTCTTACTCTTTTTAAAAAAAAAAGATCTATCGCTAAAGCACATCTTTCTACTCGGTTTTTTTTCGTTACGTTTATTTTGATTATTGGTAATACCCTTTAGTTTCCCCTTCTACGCTTGATGCTATACTTAAATATTCGTCCACTTTCTTTCATACTCATTTTGTATTTTCGTTCCGGTTAATCAGATTATATCCAATTGTTTTCAAAGTTGTTTCCTGCAATGTTGTTATTTATTTTGTCGTAACGAAAATTACCTTGATTTTCTTGATATTTATAGTTACTATATAACGTCCGAACTTCTTTGGTAATATTTTTTATCGAAGACCTCTTCGCTTTATTCTGTGGTTTTCGTCTTTACATTGTTGAAAGACAATTACGATTGAATTTACGTCGTGTGTCTTATGTCCTGCCTGTCCCGCCTTTTTGCATCTAAAACAATAAGAACGAGTTTATCTTTGTTTCAGACTACCTAAGGACCTTGACATGAATTACTTTTGTTAAAACGTTCCTTCAATAAGTTTATTGTTTGTTCGTCCCCTTTCGCTTTCGCTCAAGATTTTTAGGGGGGTCATATTCTAAATTCGGTAATTTGTTGGTACATTATCTTAACAATAACATAATAGTTGTATCACATTACAATCACAAGATCGTCATATGTTCATTATATTTGTTTCACTTGTGTTTCATATTTGTGTTTCTAAATATAACAAATAATTTATATGTGCATATATGATTTGTTCTTTGAATTGAAATGAATAATTAATTCTTTTTTTACATGTATAAAAAAAACAATAATTTATACTAAAAATACAGTACATTCTATATAATTATTGTCCATTTTTTTTTTAAATTAATTAAACATTCGTTGGAGCATATTTTCCATCTATATTTAATACGTTTATTAATTTAGGATGAACTTCAACTTGAAAAGGTTTAAATGGAACTTTCTCCCCATCAATACTAATATATCCCGTGTCTTTATTTTTTGGAGTTAATCGTAAGGCCGCTACTTTATAATATTTAACCTTTAATATATAAAAAATTAAATTTATTATTACTATACATCTTTTTCATAGAAATCAGCAATTTCAATTTAATTAAAAATTTAATTGACATACCTCTTTCATATTAATATGAGCTCCTTGTTCAAATGAAGCCAATATATTTGCGACTTTCAGTTTTGATATTTTATCCCAATTAACTATCATCAGATCTAAAAGTCCATCAGATGGTAATGCACAAGGAAATACAATCTGACTTCTAGATAACCATGGAACTTTCCCTGCGATGAAAATATATCCATCATCATTCAATACTGTCCAATCTGATGGAATTGGATCATTTACGCTTCCATATTTGTCTACTATCCCTTTTGATTTATCTTCAACTTCATTCGATTTGTCTTCAACGTGTGATGATGAAGAATTATAGATTTTATTATATTCTTGTCTAATATTGTCAATATTATCTTCAACAATTTTCATTGCTATTTCGCAACTATATTTACGATTCGCTAACAATGCCTGTAAAGCGCCAATCACAAATCTGAAATCTTTCATAAATCTAATAATAAATTATTTAAAAAATTATATTTAATCCATTATTATTATATAAATTTATTATAAAAAAAAATAGATAGATAGATACCTCAAGTGTTCAGTTGATAAATCACAATCAGCAATAATTCCATAATTTAGTGACATGAAAGAATAATATCTTTCGTCCCCTTGTGTGACTGAACATACATCGATTTTCATTGGAACACCTGATTAAATTAAAAAAGAAATTTTAATTAATAAAAACGACAAATAAGGGGTAGTCATACCTTACATTGGTATAGAAATTACCTTTTATTATGTTAAGAGCAGCGTGAGACACGCTATTACCATGATCATTACCCAAGAGGCAGAAGCTTAGCCCATTCCCACTTCCTGTAAAGTATAAAACATATCAATAAAGTAAATTAAAAACTCAATATAATTAAACAATCAAAATTTACCTGAGGGAATCACTCCAATCGGAGTATCAATTTCAAGTGCGTCATCGCGTGATAAAAGTCCGTTGATAACTTCATGAATTATACCGTCCCCACTAACCGTAACAATAGCGTCGTAAGCCTTCAAATCTAAATCTTTTATAATCTCTTTAGCGTGATCCGAATATTCTGTTACTATAAACAGAAAAATATTTGATACGTTTTAATTTATAGGATAAAAAAAAAAAATGAAATTTTTTAAGGAGATCCGAACTCCATCAAATTAAGGAGTTGATTATATAAAAGGAATATAGCGTGGGAATATGCCAAGTCCGTAGATCTCGTGATGCAGTAAATTTTACTCCTTATTTTGATAACAAGAAATTTTCAATTATACTAACTAGTAATTTCACATGTACATCCTGCTGCGTCAAATATTGGCATAACGGATTGATTGAAATCATTTTCAGCTTTACCAGCTCCACCAAAAGGATTGACGAATATTTTAAGATGTTTTGCTTTTTTCGTATCTAATAAAATAAATTTAGTAAAAGTATAACTTATTTTCATTAAAATTTTATGATTTAAATCTACCTTTATATACGGCGTCATTTATTGCTTTAATCCATAATGTGGCAGCTTCTTCATCGATAACCTCAAAAGAAAATGTATCTAATTTTAATATTAACTTTCCCTGTGGAATTAATGCTTTTATTATTATTCGAACTTCTTTTGATTTATCAAGATAAACAGAAAGAATATATCTAGCAGATATTTTGATCGGTTTGTTCGTAACTACAATGAATAAATAATAAATGAAGTTTTATTTATATATATTTATATATACATAATTTATATATACATATACACAAAAAAAATAGAATAAATAAAATTTTTTTTATTCACCGCCAGAGTTCTTTTTCTGTTCTAACAATAATACATCATCGCTAAAAGATAAACTGGTGGTATTATTGCCATCGCTTTTTACTTTTACTTGTAAAGGTATCATCTTATATGTATATATATATATATATTGAGAGAAGAAATTTATAAAAAAAAAACAGTGAGAAAAAATTTGTCTTTATATACATACTTTTGAGTCTTACGTTGTACCACAATGATCGGGTTTTAGCTATCAACTGAGAAGTATTTAATTATCTGTGCATTAAATTCCGCATGTTAATCAATTCTTGGTTAACTTAATAAATTGCATCAATAATAACTCCAACTTTCCAAAATAGTTAATTAGTTGAACATGATGTATTGAAAATCATAATTTTCATTGTACTCATTTTTTTTATAATTCAAAAACAGATTATTTCTATCTATGGTTTAGAAGTTTATGGGATTTTTTTCATTGGTCCTCATATAAATTATTTGATATAAAAGGGTTGCAGAATGAATAACAAACCAGGAAATTAGGAGAAAATCATGTGAACTTTCGGCCGAAATTAGAAACCCAGACACGGTAATTTACAATGAATGACGTGTTTTTTATGAGTATCGAAATTATAATAAATTCACTACGTGCTATACTGCTATTCACACAACGTAAATTCTTTTTTTTTCCTAGGAATAGGATGGCAACCCGAAATATCATCAAATGTGTTTTGTTATTCTCCTTCCATTGTATTTCCATCGATTATTTATAACGTCCATTGTGTACGTAATGACATTTTAAATTTCAAAATTCAATGTATTCTATGTATAAAGTAATATAATATTTTGTATTAACATCTGATTTGATCGATGAAGTTGGTTTTAAAGTCTGGACATAACCATGGTACAATTTCATGAACAAATCCAAATTCTCTTTGGAGTATATTCAGAAGCCTTATGTATTTTTTTTTTCAATTCTTTTATGTATAAAAATAGCATGACATGAGTCACACGACATGTTAAATCGTGAACAATATCGCAAATTTTATGAAGATTATTGTTTTCTTAAATTTAGCATGTACTGTAGTTATAAATTTGGTTATGATGGGATCAACTACTCACGTAAATAACTAATCATGTTGAGAAAATATTGACTTTTTTTTTATTATGGTGTAATGATATAATACGATGAGTGTAAATACATTTAAACTAATTAAATTCACAATTTGTAATATTTTATTTAGCATTTTTTGATTAAATAATTTATTAACATATTCTTGTTTTAGGTACTGCTATTTTTTGGAGGACCAACAATGGGCGGAGGAAAATCAAAAAAACCTGTAATTCATGATATTCTATATTATGAAAACCGACAATTGATCTATCAGACACATAATACTCCAATTAAATATACACGAAAAACAATGGACATTAAAACCTAATGGTGTAATAATACATTTGATATATATGGACAATATAAAATATGATAACGTTGTGAACCTATGTAAATACTTCAGTTTTTAATATTAAAATGGGAAAATAATGTAAATAAAAAATAATTTTTTCGTACTTTATTTCTATAATTTTAAATTTATAAACTATATTTCTAAATTTTTTTTTCTACACCCCAAAATCTTCTAAGTTGTTCAGTTATACATATATAAAAATTTCAATTATCTTCTACAAAATCTCTTACATCAACATTAAATTCAAAACGTATTGAACCACAACGTAACCGCATATTTGAATCTTTGTACACACGTTCTTTCCAACAGAAGGGAGTTTCTTGCGCGTTCTGCATTAAAACATATGCACATGTCCCTGTTTACTACTCAGTTTTTATTTCCTTGACCACCTTCAAACTTACAAGTATACATTCTTTTTGCTGGAGAATATTGAAAAGTTGGTTCATTGTAGAATAAAATAATAAAAAGTCCTTCAGAAAAGGGCACCATTTTTAAAGTTTTTACTCGAGGTTCACTTCTATGAAATTGTAAGCGTGCCTTAACTGCGTTATAAAAGAATGTTTGAAGTAATGAATATCATATAAAGTTGGAGAAGTTGACCTGCGTGAGTGAGGTATTATTTTATTATTTGGGCGAACAGTTCTTTCATGAATAAAAAGGTTTTTAGATGAAAACGTTTTGGGAGTATTTTCAGAACCAAGAAAACAAGTATATGACATCGTAAAACAAAATTATATACAAAACGCAATTTCTAATTCAAGTAATATATAATTGTTTTCAAAACCAATCAAATCTTGCATCATATAATGTGATATGATTCTGATGGGGTGTGATCGCATTTTATTTGTTACGGCCTTACGGGGCACCAATTGAGCATAACGATCTTGCTACTGAATCTCATCCACAAACATGTTATACAAGTCGCTTACTTAATTTTACTAGTAAAAAATTGAATGAAATTCTTGAAAGGGAAGATTCCCAAACTTATCATGCAAGTCATTCTTCTATTGGTATAACTGATGATTGTATAATTAAAGATACAAATAATTAGGTATGTAATATAGTAAGTATTAAAGATAAACTAATTTTACAAATGATTTATATAGATTATTTTTATTTATTAATTATTTAAAACAAATGAAATTAACTAATTATTAAATGATTCATAGTTTTTTTAAGTGATATTTGACATGATGTATTTATCAGAAATTGTTTTTATTTTATTTTTAGATTTATTTAAACACTAAGACTAGAGTAGTAAAATATTTGTAAATTTCTTAGTTTGTAATTTAAATAATTCCTTTTTTATAGCTCATAAATATTTATATTCTCTTTATTTTTTTTTTATTTTACTTAGAATTATTTAAACACTAAGACTAGAGTAGTAAATATTTTGCAAGTTTCTTAGTTTATAATTTAAATAAATCTTTTTTTTATAATTTTAATTATTAAAATTTTGCCGTATGCGGGGGGATATCATCCCCATAGTAAATTTTATATTTGTTATTTTTTATGAATATTTTATTTTTTTCATATTTTTTTTTTATTTACATATTCTTTATTTTTTTTCTTTCCCGCACTTATTCAGATATTAAAAAGAATATATTAATGAAATTGATGCTTATTTTTATTAATTTACTGTATTTAGTTAATATTAGCTAATGCATATATTTATTCATTTCTTAATATTTTATAATTTATTTGACTCATGATACTTTTATTTTCTTAAAATTTACTCAAAAAATAATTTAATTAAAAATCACTTTATTAATTTAATATTGTTTTATTATATGACCACTCATTAAAAATTAAAAATTTACTAAACCAATCTTAAGAAATTGGTCAATACATCGTTAACTCTTACCTAATGCATATTTTAATAATTTCTTACACTCTTTTTACTTTACATAAGTAATTTTAAAATTTAAACCTATACTTTTTGTGAAAATCTAATTGAAAATAAAAACAGCGCCTCAGAAAGATTTTATTTTCAATAAAATCTGCCATATTAATTTTGGCAAAAATAATTTGTATAGCGGTTAGTTCGTAAGATTTTGCATACAACGCAATATTATCTCAAGTACAAGATTACGAACTCTTTCTAACAATTTCTGTTGATCACCATGTCCAATAATTTTAGGATGAAACAAAAGGTGGAAGAATTCACAAAGTGTATATAGAAAAGTCCTTTTCAACGCATTTCAATATGACCAACTGATTATTCACTCTCTTAGAAGCATTTTAATATAGATTTTATCAGACCTTTAATATCAGTTTACAAAATTTTTCTTTGCCGAACACAAAATTTTTACTTTCTTGACTAGTCTTTCCTAAAAAAAAGGTAATTGCATTTTCTAGTCCATATATTATCAGAGAGACAATATTATGACGGATATGGCAATCATACTTGTTTTAGATAGTTGTTGGATTGTATTAGATAATTCGATAAATTAATATGTTTATAAGAACAATTACTATATTTTTACCATTGTTCATCGGCTCAACGTATAGAGACGGTCGAAGATCTATATCGAAAAAAACCTTACTTTTTTATAGGTATTAGAAACGTACCGACGTACCGTCCAACAATCGTTCGTTTACGGAAAATCCTGAACTGCCTCCCCTATGAATTATTAGGAATACTGCGGTAAATAATTAGAAGTTAAATAGGTATTAAAAAGTTCCATGTGACTTAGTCACATGGAACCTAGTAACATTGTGACTAGGTTTTTAAAGCTCAGTTTATCCTATTAAAGTTGATCTATTATTCGTATTTTATGTCTAAGAAAAAGTTAATAAAACACTTTATTCACATTATTACTCAATCTAATAACAAAATGACAAAAAACTATTTATTATTTTTTTCGGCATTTCTCGATTTTCTCGTACATGACGCAAGATACATATCTGATATATACATAAAGCAACACTAAGCATGACGCAAATCTGGTACAAATGACAAAAGCTTAATAACCAATTTACATATTTATTTAAGAAAATATTTTTAATTTATATTGACATATAACATTTTTTTTTTTCTTAGCATACTTTGTTCAAAAAATAAAGAAATGAAAAATGAATAGATTGAATTTCGACATTCTTACTCTTATTTTCGTTGAATTACGAAAAGATCACAAATCTTTACATTCTTTTCTTTTAGTTAATAGAGTGTGGTGTCGTTTGGTAGTTCCTATCTTATGGAGAAAATGTCTATACACTTATATTGATATTAAATCATCAAAAAAACTTTCTAATGTAATACTCTCCTATCTATCATCCTCTTCAAAACAGCTTTTATTAGATAATAATATTATGTTACCTTCAATTTTTTCAAAACCTCTAACATTCAATTATATCAGTTTTTGTAAATATATGAACAATTTCATTATATATAATATTATAGATACGGTATTTATTCCTGACATTGAAAAAATTAAAAAAAGAAATAATTTAAATCTCTTAAAACGAGAAGTTTGCAAGTTATTTGTTAGTCAATGTAAAAATATTAAAAAATTGTCATGGAAAACTTTTCAAACCTTATCGTCATTTCCAGGAGCTCAAACATGTTTTTCTCAACTTTATAGTCTAATAATTGATATGAATTTTGTAAATTCTGATAGTCTTTATGAGATGTCACAAATTTGCAAAGATTTGAATCAATTGACAATTTGTGGCTGTTCTCAAGATATCCCCGGATTAATTTCTTTGATCGATGCGCAGAAAAAATTAAAAATAGTAAGCATAATTTTTAACACCGAGATTGAAAAGAAAATGGATTGTGAAGAACTAAGCAGAGTATTAGCAAAAAAGGGTTCTACAATAAATAATCTTACTTTATGTAGCTCAGTTGGTTATATTTCACATTCATTTTTAACATCACTCGTCAATCTAAAAAGTTTATACATTTATCATAATTATGATTATGATGATTATAAAGAGGTCATGGAATTTCAGCAATATAATTTAATAAATGTAAACTTTCCTTACCTTCAATACCTTATAATTGAAGGATTGACATGTTTTAAAGAATGTGCAATATTAGTCGAAAAAACCAAAGGAAATATTTTGAGTGTCGATGTTAATACTATTGAAATACCTCCTATGAATACAGGAATGTTGATTAAAGTAATCGCTAATAATTGTCCAAAAATTGAAAAATTATCTACATATTTTGAATTTGAAGATTTGATTTATGTAAAATTATTATTAGTGAATTGTAGTAATTTAACATATTTAACTTTCAAAAGTTTGAATGAAAATTATAATATAGGAGATGAATTAGTAGAAATTTTGATTAAATTCTCTCCAAAATCTTTAACGAAAATAACGCTTAAGGGAAATTGGAAGTATTCAATTGATGTTTTTAATAGATTTCTCGAAAGTTGTGTGAGGCGAAATTATATTGTAGATGCAATAGATAAGGTTAGAAATCTAATTACAATAGGATATGCAGAATTCTTTAGGGAGTACAAAGATGAAGAAGTAGTTGAAAATTCGAATATTACATGAAACATCTTCAGCCGCTAATATTGGTTGTCGTGTGTTATGTTTGTATATTCCACAATTACGATTATAATCACCTAATGAAATAAAAATAAATATTAACATTAAATAAATAAAACTAAATCATCATAGTAAAATCATCTACTTTCTCCCTACGATCTAAGAATTTTTGAGAGTTTAATCACCTATGCAAGTAACAATTAACAATATCATCATCCATCAAACAATGAAGACATTACAGCACGTTTATCGAATTAAGAAACGGCATCAACTTAAACAAATTTCCAAGTGCAAATGAACATATACCACCATCACCACTTTCACCACCACCTAGGTACGGAGAGAACTGATACACCACCAGATACTCAGGCCTCATGCGGAGTGGGTGTTTGACAAATTTTATGATCAATGGAGATAATTAATGAAGTTGTAGATGGGTTAAGAAGTGTAAATATGAATGTTTATACTACGGATCCCAGTAGAGAGTATATTAAATTAGATATGATGTATATGATGTTTAATGTATTAATTGGTAGTATGTTATATATGGTGCATATCCAGAAGGAAATGTTAGTTTAAATGATAGAAATCGATGGTGGGAAACTAAAGTTATAAAAGAATAGAGTCAACGTGATATATTTATAATTGTTTTATAATGTAGGATTATTGGGTGAAGATTAACATAATGACTTAAGACATGCATTTCCATCAAGAACGTAGATTTATGGATTTATTTCTTAATGTTTTGATTTTTTTTTCTTTATTTTATTTTGTTTTTCTTTAGATGACATCAAAATTTTGCTTTTTAGAAAGTACAATTGTTTAGAGTTTAATTTTTTCCTTGAAGTCAATATATTAGTGATTTAGTTCAGAGAAAATATTAGAAAATACAGAAAACAAAAGAAAAAGTAAAAAAAAATCAATTTTAAAATATTTTTAGATTAGTAGCGTTTTTTCACAACAGATAGATTTTAAATTAACAAAATTTTATTTTTTAAATTTATCACAGTTATTTTTTAGACTAGATTGAACTCAGTTATAGAGGGAAGTATGTCTTGACTGCTTCTTTCTAGGTGTTTATAAATTTATGTAATAATTTGTTTATGATAAATAAATAATAAACGCGTTACTGTTTAAAAAAAAAAAAAAAAAAAAAAAAAAAAAATAATGCCTTAAGACAAGGACGACGCATTTAGGCTAAGACCGAAATGAGCGCTTAGTAAAACGGGCCCCAAGGGCTCGTTACACGGCGCGAAATAATATTACGATAGCGACTTTGCCCATATATGGTGTGAAAGTCGCTCTGTTACACCATGTGTAACGGCTGCCTCCCATATTACGCTACGCTTAAAACGCGTAATTATATAATTTATTCTTTTATTAGAAAAAAATTTAAAATGTCTGAACAATTCCATTTACAAAAAACTGTCATTTTTTTAACTTACCCCCGTTGCCCGTACTCCCTTCCGCCTGTCTTGATAATTTGTGGGTGAAATTATCAAACAGGAGTGCTCCTATTGGTCTTGCAGGATATTCTATTGCTCAGGTGCATCACGCGGATGGTGGATTGTATTTACATGCGTTGATAAAGCTGGATAAGAATTAAGAAGCCAAATATAAAGGATAGTACAGTTTTCGACCTTGCGGAAGGCGAAGAAGTGGTCCACCATCCCTATGAAAAAAGATCATCCAATTTTTGTGCAATATTTGTTCAAGTCCGTGCGGAAATCATACAATTATTGCAGTTTTTTGGATAAAAATGGCCATGTCGATTTTATAGTGTATTGAAAATGTGCGATCTTTGTACAATTGAAAATAAACTTAAATTAAGTATACAGAAAACGTTCAACTTTTGTGCAATAAAAGTTTAGGATATAAAAATTGTGCGATTATTGTACAATATTTGAAAATATACGAAATATACGTTTATTTTAGTACAATCGTTACAATTGTACGATGGGAGATCATTTTACTTTAATTGTGAATTGTGAATGTATTTAAAAAGTAATATATATGACTGTTTACCTACAATGTATTTATTTTAAATTAACTTATAATTTATAATAATATTAGCGATCAAGTTATTTTATTATAACAGAACCGCGTTTCTATAATATACATTTAATATCATTTAACCCATTTAACCGTAATTCAACCATATTATAATCGTGTATCAAGTTTTTATATTATAGTAAAACCGAAAATATCTGCAAACATCACAATAATCGCTTCATCACGATCACCTTTTCCGTCTCTATAATTACTTTTTCGATCACTTCCTTTACTACAATTACTTCC